ATGCGTTTTTCCATATAAATTCGTTCGTTTCCAAACGAACCAGATGAACTTATGATTGCGACAGGCGAGTAATTTTAATCAACGTACGATGTGCGAATTCTCGCAGCAACAGGCTCGAAATTTTTCACCCCGACGCGAATGATTAATTTCACCTTGATTTTTTTTTTTCGTTTGGTATTTCGGTACCGATGCACAGAACTTTTAATTTGCTCGCGAGCATCGGCAATTTCGACATTCGCTATTTGCCAATGAAAAAGGGGTAAAGTAACATCCATTTTTTTTTGTTGCATCTCGCATAACCATCGCGATGAAATGCGCTCGCAATACACGGCGGATAGACGCGCCGAGCTTCTCCCGGCCGCGAATTCATCCACGATGTCGAGCTCGTTCATCATTCGGGTTTATTTCGAGTAATCGGTCGTCGATCGCGCAATTAGCATTACCGGAGCTTTTTTCCCCCGAATCGGGAAAGGGGCTTAAAAACCGTCATCGTTAGCCGCATCTTTTCGCGGCGCGTTGCACGGTGCGCGTATTTTTCTTTTTTTTTTTTTAAACTCTCGCGATGTCAATCGGACTAAGGGAGGAGAATCATTAAAAAAAACTAGATCCAGGGAAAAACGAAGCGTACGGGTCGTTTGACGAATCACGAGGCGGCTCTTGGATATACCGACGTGGGAGGCGCGCCGCGGGAGGAAACGAGGCGAGCGGGGGGGAGGGTGATGTTTTTTTCCTCGGCGGCGCCTCTTTAATTTGCCCTCCAATTAACGGACGGGGTCCTATTTGAAAAATACCTGCCACGAGGGCTGGCAATTATACTTCTTCCTTTTTTTTGCGTCACGAGCGCGTTATTAGCGCTATCCGTCCAACCCCGCTGCCTCTCTCGGCATCTCTCTCGCTCCTTCGTCTCTCGCTTGCTCTTTCCTTCCGTCCACCTCTCGCACACTCTCACCTATTTCCTCCACTTCCCCCGTCCATTTTGTCTTAGTGCATGTGTGCGAGCGGTTGAGGGGATGGGGGCGAGTGGGCGAGCGTATCCGCGCGATTGTATGCGTTTTACGTGTATTGCGGAGCACGCGGGTGAAGTGATGCGGCGATGGGACGGGGGAGGCGAAGGAAGGAAGGAAGGGGATGGAGCGAGATAACGAGATGGAGGAGGACAGGTGAGACGGAGAGAGAAAAGGGGTTGGTAGCGGGCGGTAGCGAGAGAGAAAATTGGAACCGGGAGTGAGAGAGCGGGCGCGGTGCGGCGCGGTACAGCGCGGTGCGGTGGCTGCGGGTCGCGAGGGGCCAGGGAGGGAAGGAGTGGCGTTTATAACTCGTGCCCGGGTCTCCCGGCTTTGAGAAGGCCAATTAGCAGCATAAAGCTGCAGCTCGGCCCCGAGGCCGAGGATGTTTGTATGTAATAATGGATTGTTACTCAAAGTATCCGGCTAATTAATTAAGCCCCCGCCGCGCGTCCGCCCGCTCGTCGTTGTTCCAAGCGGCGCGGCGCGGCGGCGGTGGCGGCGGTGGCAGCGGCGGCGGCGGCGGTGGCGGCGGCGGCGGTGGTGACGGTGGCGGCAAAGGGGTGAGCAAAATGGGCTGCTGGCCGCTATATCCCCGTACGTCACCCTCGCCCGCCAAGTGTTACGCCTCGGAAGGACGTAACTGCGTTGTCGCGAATCGCGAATCCCGACCCTCACGCGGAAACGTAACGACCCCGAGTCGGATAAAATCGCATTTTCAACCGCGCCTGGCGACCGCGGCGGCATAAATCGCAGACGGCCCGCGATTTCCGTGATTGAGAAAATACCTCCGGGGACAATCTAGGCCAGCGATTTACGAGAGTTAAAAAAAAAAGCAATTAGAATGTATCATCGTCGGCAATTTTATCGCGCGAGCCTGTACAAAATAGAAGCTCCGCGTGATTTGACGCGAAACAAACGCACGCGCGCGCAGAGTCAGTTATTCATCGTTAACATTCCCGAGTGGGACGCGACGTTTAGTTCAAAGCATAGCTCACAGTTCATCTTAGGTAGGATAAAGCTTCGAGTTTCCCACTTGTGGCGACGAAATGTGGTGAACGGTTAAAATAATTGGCGCTACAGAGAAATTTATTTTCGCCTGAACAACGCTCGTCCGCTCCGCGGGACGGCTGAGGGACGGGGGCTGCCGCCTCGGATGTCGGTAGGCGAAAAGAAAAGAGGAGAGGGATGGAGAGGGAGAGAAAGAGGGTGCGAGAATGAAGGAGGAAAGAGAAATGTTTTATGCATCGCGAAAGATTCTGACGGCGTTCGTGACGCAGCGCGTCGGTGCTTATTGGAGTCTGGGCGCGCGAGGAGGAGCGCAGGCACGGTTCCAATTAGCCGCGCTAATTATTGCGTGCTGTCAGCCACTTACGACCTACGGAGATGCTTGTAATACGGCGGGATACGCGTGCACGGCACGCCAAACGTCCGCGGTTGTCGCCCCCTCAAAAAGACACGCGGATGCATGCAACTGCGTCTGAATGCGCGGGGAAGGTTCTCATTAACTCGGGGGAAATCAAATTTCGAGGCGAAATGACGACGCCGCGCGTATAATTCTCGTCGCGCGCGCAACTTTTTCCCACC